TTGATAGCAGAAATGATTAAGAAGTAATCTACGAAGAGATAAAAAAGCAACTGTTAACAGATAGGATTGGAGTTACGACAATGGAATAAGAGGAGATCCATAGAAACCACAACGCCTCGGAATCTTGAAACCTGTGAAAAGAAAAGCAATTGATTTACGCGAGCGCCGGTTGCCGTCGGCTGCGACGCGGTTCCGCACGCATTCGCTTCGATTAGCCGTGGAGCATGGAAACCTCATGGCAAACTGAACTGTCCTATCACTTGAAACCGGTTACCGTTGCTGTTTACAGCCGTCTTGTACAGGTCGTGAACCTGCACGGGAGCCACTCATTATCTGTTTGTAAACTTGCCTTCACGAGAACTTGTGACATTGTTTGGAATTACCGCATTTTCATCCGTTCATAGTTTCCAAATAATGCCTATTCTTTACTGGTTGCTTCAGTGGTTCGAATCAAATACTGTTGCAAATTCTTCTTTCGCTTCTCTTGCCTCTTTTGCCGTGGGTTTTTAGATTTCGTAGTGTCAAGTAAATCTGCTTATTGAAGATGTGAATGTGCTCCAGCGCTGGTCGAACGTATGGGGCATTCGGTGCAGACATTCAAACCACTGCCGACATTACCTCTTTATTATCAGCGGTCAGGAAAGGCTTCTTGCTTCAGCCTGGAGAAGGAGCTTCTGGGGAGATGAAATAATCAATTTATTATGGGACTTCTTCTCTTCTTACTCTTGGGCAATCCTTAATCCCGTGTCTCACAAGGGTTCCGTCGCAATTTCCAGCACTAACCATAAGTGTTATTCAAAACAGAAAAAAAGGGGAGCGACGTGAAATGAAGCGTGAGGCTCAAAAATGCCCTTGTGCAAAGTCAGGAGTAGCGTAATCCGGCGTACGTGGCACTAGATGCCCCATTATATTCGACGATAAGAGCCTACCTATCGTTGTTTTTTGGGCGCTAAGGTTGTTGTGTGGGGGAAGGGGGTCGAGGGGGACAAATGTATTCGCTAGTGCCTCCGTATCAGTTGTCATAACGAAAGAGGGGAGTTGCTCATTGCTGTCAATAGGCGGGGCAATCTTGTGCAGACATGTAAACTCTTGTAAGCTACACAATGGATTTTCATCCCTTTCATTTCCATGCCATTCCTTGTTTGCTTCGTCTTGTGATGAACAAAATTTGGTGCTTGGAAGCATAAAGAGACTATTCAGAATCGATGGTTCCCTGAGCTTCATTGAGTTTTAATCTTGATGTAGTGAGTAGAATGACGAAGCTCTTCTCTTCATTGAAACTTTATTATATGACAACGTTTCGGGCATAAGCCCTTCTTCAGGTCACTCGATCTTAAATCAAACAGCTACCCTTACAACGTTACAGCATCAATCGAGTAAATCCTAGCCAATAAACTCCACGTGAGTAGAATGGGGAATGAACCTAAGAACGACTATACTCACTACCGTAGCAGTTACCAGGCAGAAAGAAGTGGAAGATGAGGATCGTTTATAAAGGTGCGGGACAAGGTGATCTCGCAATAATGTCACGTCATGCTCTCATTCTGCAGCTCCTTATAATTGATATAAACTCATTGCCACTCTCATCTCTTCTTTACTGTTGATTGGTGGTTGTTGCTGCTTTATTTCCAGTGCCTCCCTGATCTTTCTTTCAACTGGATCTACCACATTTCTGTGTAGGATGGAGATGCGGAGTTCCGGCGGTCTTTCTTGGGCGTGCCTTAGTGTGCGGTGTTTCGAGAATGGGTTTTCCGGGTAGCTCTGTGGGCTCCGCAAAGCTCTTAGGTGTTCCTCCATTCTCTTGTGAAGTGGCCTCGATGTTTCTCCAATGTAAAACTCGTGACATGAGAGGCACACAATTTTGTACACCGCACATTTTTCTTGACACACCTTATGTTCTCCACAAATCCCACAGTTAGCTCTTTCACAACGACTCTCATATGGACGTGATGATGTTAAAAGTCGTCGTAAGTTAGGAGGTGGTCGAAATGCCAGGCTTATGGGGAGCCTTGATCGTTTTACGACGCGATTGACATCAACAGCGAACGAGTCACTGATGAAAGGTAACACGAGTGGAGCATAAGGTGATCGGTAAGGCCCGAGGAGTTGCCCATTTCTATATCCGTTTTGCCACAAGACTGTTGTGTTCATGATGAGAATCTCTCCCAAGGTCTGTGATAAAGATAAATGGGGGTGAATTTATCACGTTTCCGGAGCCCCCTACCCCAAAAAGAGAAAAGTTTTTCCTTACCAAACTAGGCTTTTCCTGAGGTCAGGTGGTGAAGGTTGAGAACCGCTTCCTTGGAACGTCTATAATAGAAGATGTCTGGTGGTTTTAAATCGTCTAGGTGCTCTGCAGAAAAAATCCGGTACATGTATTAGCACATCAATTTCCTCTATTTTGATCTCTATTTCAGACGGACCCAGCCAGTGTGGCGAACCCAGTTGCAGCCACTAACTTGGGCGACGTGAAAGAACTGTTATTTGAAACTTAGTGAAGAATGCTTGCTGCTGTGGTAAAGGAGTTTGGTGGTCCTAGTGTGATCAAAGTGCTGTCCAATGTACCCATACCTGTGATAGAATCTAGTGAACAGGTGAGAAACCCTTTTAATTGTTACTCTTGAACTTGATTAAAGATTGGCATTAACATAGTTCGATGGAAGGGAGCGGAGGGGGGGGGGGGGGGAAGGACGCTCCAGCGCGGCTATGTTCACTGTACGTAACTTTGTCGTCCTGAACTAATTGTAAGTTAGCGTTCGTTCGGTATCTGATTGGCGCTGTTCAACTATTGCTACCCCGCTCGAAAAATTCCGGAATGAAGGCTTGTTCAGTGCCTTCAAGAGCCTCTCTCTACCTAGTGCGCCCTGAAGTTCTTGGAACTCTTCAGGAGTTTCTTATATACCCTTGGGCCATTTGCGAAAAATGTCCAGTGGGTCGGGTGTATTCTTTGCGGCTCTCAAGAGTAGGAGAATAGGAGAATGCACGCCACAAAATCAGGATTCTTCTCCTCCGGTTCTCGTAGTCTTCCAACTTCCCAAGCAACGGAATCGATCTACACAAATACCTTTTATCCCGTTCTCTTTCTCCAGTAACTTGAAACTGGTTTGCTATTTAAGCTATAGCATATTGTGGCACTAATCAGTACTCTCTGTGCAACAGGAAGTTCCCTGTAATGTGCATAGGCCAAATCTCATTCAAAATAGCATTCTGATTAAGTAAGATGCTTGGCGCATTCCAGTGGAGTGGATTGACTAATACTGAAAACTTTATCCTTTTCCATTCACCTTTCATGTTCAGATTCTCGTTCGTGTTGCGGCATCTGGTGTCAATCCTGTGGATACCTATATTCGGAATGGGCAGTATGCTGTTAAACCTAAACTACCGTATACGCCCGGGAGAGACGGAGCAGGTATCGTGGAAGAGGTGAGTGGTTTTATAATGGGTTTGCAACATGTGTCGTTCATATAGGAGAGCCAAAAGGGGTGTCCTGGCTGCGTATTCCTGGACCGATTCCTTTCTCTTGCGTTCATACTTCGCGAATCAGTCGCTCTGATCGCACGCGCGATCAGAGCGACCAAATGGAGGTGTGGATGTGCTATTATTCGTAGATATCGCCTTAGTTAATCTACAGGTTTGATGGGAGTTATAAATGCAACCCAAAATGCTAATCAACATGAATATTTTGTTTTGTAGACGAGCTCTTTTGAAAATAATTTTACTCAGGTCGGCGCTGATGTTCGCAATGTCAAAGAAGGTGACCGTGTCTACTTCGCCTGGTCTATTACGGGCAGTGCAGCCGAGTATTGCCTTGTAGATAGGGTATTCCCTTTGCCATCTGGTAATGAGAAAAACCTACTCTTATGTGGCATGGAAGTAAAAATCTGCTGACTACTGTTTCTTTCGAAAATTATGAGATTTAGCTCTTTAGGTATTTCCTTCCAAGAAGGTGCATGCATTGGAATCCCATATGGCACAGCTTACAGGGCTCTTTTTCTGTATGGGGAAGTTCAGGTGAGTACATATCAGGGAGCTTTGCGTTCGAGAAATAGGTATAGTCTTATTCGCTGCTGGATATTGGGGCGTGTCATTGAGGTTGTTTTGGTAAGCCGCCAGCCCGTTCTCCACCAGTTGTGGAGGGGGCGAGGGTAAGCGAGAACATTCGCCATTTGGCGCTGGCGTCGTGCCAAGTCCATCCGCTTGATACGTTACATCATCTGCGGCAAACAAGACTGTGCATGCAGAAGCAGTCACTACCGGAAGACTAGGAAAATGCAATGAGTTTCTACCTCTGAGTATATCCTTCAGAAAGGGCAGCGAGTACTAGTGCATGGCGCCTCTGGAGGAGTGGGAATAGCAGCGGTGCAGATGGCTGCCGATCACGGAGCTGCTGTTGTGGGTACAGCCGGTACAGACGAGGGCATGGATCTGGTCAAGCGTAATGGTGCCAGCGATGTGTTCAATCATAAGTCCAGAGGATATGTAAAGGAGATGATGGAGAAGTATCCAGAAGGTAAGCGGTTCTACTCCTGAATTGAGGAAAAGCCAATGAACAATTCCATTCCTCCTCCCCCCCCCTACTTCCTCCGGGCGCCATAACCAAACTGCTCATTCCTGGTTCGCAACATTCGTTAGCAGCTTCCTGCATTGAACAATATCGTCCAATATGCAAAAAATTCGAAGTGGCTTAGAAATGAAATTCATAACGTTTTGCAGCTTTGTGGGAGTAATTTCTCGAGTGTTTCTGATTTCCTCATTTTCCATTACCTGATTGTTTTGGAGACTTCACGAAATGGCCCGTTATGTCAATAGGAATTCAAAGAAATGCTCCATTCTGTTAGGCGGACTTGCGCTATAGAGCTTTATTCGGAATTTCATTCTATTTCAGTCATCGTTTTTTTTTATTTTTTCTGACGTTAGGGTAAGGGCGATAGAGCGCAGTGGTTGCTTAATGGCATCATGTGCACGATATTCGCAACAGGAACTAAACGATTCAACGCGGAACTGCTGCAATATGTCAGTCAACTAGCTAAGAAGAACTAGCTATTCTGGGCTGCGCAGGCACCGTGATACCGCGCCCTATTTCCACTAATGGTGCCGTTCTGAGCGCGAAGCAGCTGATGGGAAATCTGGTCTGGCTGCTTTCCTAGCCACGCCTCGGTCACACGCCTTATCCTGTGGGCATTTTGTATTATTATCATCGCTTCCCTAGTTCCGGTTACAAATCTCACTCTGGAAACTTGTGAACTCTTGTGAAGCTGAAGTAAGATCGTCTAGCCACTATCCTAAAACGTGTCAACTCGAGAAACGGCTGCCTAGATGGGTCGACACATCTATGGAAAGCAAAATGCCCCTCCTCCCCCCTCCCCCTCCCTCACCATCGACAAACTGCCCCGGGGGCTACTTAGAATACAATCGTTTCGTGATTTGTGTGTTCTGTTGTGGCAACTGCTGTTTAATGCCACAGTTCGCGCTGCGAAGTCATCACAAGAATGCTGAGTTATGGGCAAAAATGTTGACTCCTGTTGGGATTCGAACTCGCATCTCACGGTTCACTATTGACGGATAGCATACTCGCCCGAAAAAGGTGAGGTGGGGCTCGAGTCCCATACGGAGTCGAAAATTTGACCACAACTGAGCATTTTTCAGATGTTTCTTGTTTATTACTAACGATAGAAATGTCGGATGAGGATCTTGCAGGAGATCCACATTACGGCAGCGCGCAGAAACTGTCGAAATATTTTCTATTAGGTCGTTGCAAAAGAAATGCAGGATTTCGTTTTTTTGTATTTAATACTTATTTTATTCCAATAAAATGTAAGTGTTATATATCATTCGAAAGCTTATCTAATGCTCTTTCTAAATGATACTTCAAGATTGGTTGTAATTCTTTTTAGAGGCCACAAAATCGTTGAAGGCGTTTTTGACATCGTCTTGGTTTTTGAAGCCTTTCTCTCTAAGATAGTTGTCCAGATGCTTGAAAAAGTGGTGATCGGTGGGCGACAGGTCTGGTGAGTATGGTGGATGAGGCAGAGTTTCATAGCCCAATCCGTTTATTTTCTGGGTAAAATTGCCTGCAGAAGTGGGTCGGGTCATTGGTCGTGGGAGAGGAGTCCGCAAAGTCGTGAGCCCTTTATATTGTAACGCAACCTGGGCACAAATGCGTTACAGGCCTTCTATTGATGCATTTCGTCGATTTGTTGACAGTACTTCTCTGCCGTAATTGTTTCACCAGGATTCAGGAAGCTGTGATGGATGAGACCGGCGGCAGACCACCAAACATGAAGTTCATCTTCAAGGCTGGTGTTGCCACAGCGAAACTTCTGGAACCAACGTTGGACCGTAGATTCGTTGATACTTCCTTGACCCCAAACTTCGTTGATGTTCCGATGCTGTATCGCGCCAGCTTTCGTCCTAGCCTTGAACTCATAGAAGAAAATAGTGCGAAATTCACGTTTCGACATCTGCAATAAAATGTCAATAAAAATTATAATAAAATGAATTACAACCAATCTTGGAGTATCATTTAGAAAGAGCATGAGATGAGCTTCCGAATAGTATATAACACTTCATATTAAAGTAACATATTATTGGAATAAAATAAGTATGAAATACAAGCAAGCAAAATCCTGC